AATGTCCTTTAAAATCCTAATCCAATACACCCCCCTAAACATAATTATACGAATTAAAAAAAAAAAGTATGTTATCAATGAAGTCTGGAGACTTATTGATTAGTCTATGAACTAGAGTACATCTCCACTCCTTGTATAAAAAAAAATTATTGTAACAACATTACTTAAAGTAAAATAATTTTTATTAGTATTTTACTTAAATAATTATGCATTTTATTTAGTAATATATTTTAAAAAAATTAAAATATTTAAGATAAGTTAAACTTCATATATATATATATATATATATATATCAAATCGTAATCATCGTTAAATTTATTTCTTTAATGCATAGATCGAATTTATAAATTTTTAAAAAATTTGTAAATTATTTTATACTTCTTTTCATTAATTTAAATTAACGTATAAAATATTTTTGTGATTATTTATCAATTTAAATTAATGAAATGAAATATTAAATAATTTTTAAATTAAAAAAATTACAAATTTAATCTATTTATTAAAAATTTTAAATATATATATATATATATATAATATTTATATTTATATTTATATTATTGAAAGGCATAGACGCATAGTAAACGGAATGTAATTTACCTGATAGCCATCAAAATCGCAGTAATATGGGCAGGCAGCATATTTGACATTACTATTGTCACTGTAAGCACCTCTGTAGTTATCTGCAAATTCAAAGGCAGTAATAGCATTTCGAAGCAACGTCTCTGCATAACCCGGGTCCGATGACCGGAATGCCATCGATGCGGCGGCCAGTGCGGCGGCTGTTTCTCCGGCGACATCAGAGGCCGCGTTTGGCGCATCAACAGCATACGTAGCCCTTGATGTATCCATGTCCTCTGGCCTCTCCCAACAATCGTGATCCGAGCTTGGATCACCTACCTGTAATGTAACATTTTTATCAACCAAACTCATTAATAATCCTATAGCAATAAATAATATATATTAATGTTGTCCAATTTATATCCAACTAAAAATTATTTATAATTGATTAATGTTTACTCTAGTTGTGTTTGTGTGTATGTCTGTTAAACTCGTGATATAAAAGCAAATGGGGACAACAATCATTCACGTGATTGTCATGATTCATTGTTCCTTTATTCCTTAGCGTTTAGATGTCGTACATTTCCTTTCGTGACTTAGGACATGTTTGGAATGCTAATTATAATTTATTTTCATAAAAGGTTATTTATAATTTTATTCTCTCTTGTTTAATAATATTAGCAAAAATCAGATTGTAATTTTAGACTATTTTTACTACATTTTTTTTTTTTCAAATAAATAAGATTGTAGAGATTATGATCAAAAGCTAATGGATTGTTTCTCCTTTACTTCGTTTTTCTTATTTTTTTTATTTCCAACATTTAATTATTTTGATTATAAAGTCATTATTACAAATAATTTAATGGAGTACTTTTTAATTTTATTATAAAATTATTTAAACAAAATAAATTATCGTATGCATATTTCTATCGAAGCATGAAACTTATTTCATATAATTAATTATTAATTATAATACAAAATATTTACCAAAAAAACTCACTTATCTACCTAAAAAAAACTAATAATCTATAATATATATATATAGACCATATACACACATTTTTTAAATGAATTTTTCTTTAAATCTTTAAATAATAATAAAAAATATTAAAAATAATTATTTATACAAATATGAAACTCAAATTCAGGATTTTAATGTTTGAGAACTAAATCTAACACTAATTCATCTAAAAATTAATAATTTTTAAATATTTTGATTAAAATAAAATATTGACACACTAGTTTATAATGAATCTCTAAACATGACTCAACGCACACAAATCCTGAGAATCAAATGGAAAAAGAAAAATGTCTTTGCTGTCACCGTCAGCAAGGACAAATTCCAAGCCTGTGAACTTGACGGACTTGAAAAGAATGGAAAGTTCACATGAAATTGGAAACACGACCCATTGGTTCATGCCGTGGAGAGTGGAGTACTGGAGTTGCTTTCATTTAATACAAATACTAACTTTAATTGTGCTACAAAAGGAAGAAATACGAAAATGACTCACTCTAGTCTAGGTCCTCGGATTAGCACAACTTTCTCTAAAAACTAACAACTGTTTCATTAATTCAAATTACCAATTTATGTCAAATACATTTAATATAAACACTTTATTCATTAGATTCATAAAAGCTTAATTCATTTCTCTAAAAAGGTTAATTCAGTGGTTTGATCTTCTTCCTTCCCAATACTTAAAAGGTTATAAATTATAAATTAAGAGTTTAAAAGTCAAAAATTTATAAATTAATTAATAAAATTAAAAATATTTAGTAAAATTAGTTAATAAATTATTTGATTAATGTAAAATAATTTATTTAGTAAGAAAAGTGATACTAATACGTACACAAATAATTTTAAATTAAAAATAAAAAAATTCAAATGAATAAATGATAATAAAAAAGAAACGAGAAAAAAATAAAAACTTATAATAATAACATGTTTAGATAAAAGTTAAAAATAATTTTAAAATTTTATTTATTAATAAATACTTTTATTTTAATAAAAAAACTCAAAACACTAATAAACTTATATGCAAATAGACTTTAAATTATTTTAATTATCTTAAGAAAATATACTATAAGATCTTAAAATAAATTAGTGTACTAAACAAACTTATTTTAGAAAAATAAAATAAAGTCTTATAAATTTTTCAAATACTTTGATAAATACATTATAAGTTATAAAAGAGGTGCGACATGTAACAGCGTGATGGGATCCAAATCAGTGACGTGACAGGTTGTACATTATAGTGAAAATGATAAATGTATCCTTTCATTTTAATTAAATTTTTAATATATATTTAAAAATATTATATTAAATATTATATTTTACACTTTTTAATTTTATATATCGAAGCCACTATATATATATATATATA